TCAGGTTTGACAATTCAACCTTAATGTGCCCTTATCTTAACACGTGAGGACATAAAATGCAGACATCAATGATATGAACAGAATAAAGTCACGAAAAACACATAAAAAAATGTTCTTGTTAACAAGTTCGGTAATGAAACACAACCAAGTTTTCTGACATTATGGCAAATATATTTCAAAATGCTAAACGGTATATACTCACCATGAGGTCCAGGGTGGGAAGACTGCTTAATCTGGCCTCCTGGTCACATGGTTTGTGGTGTGGCCAAGTACTGCATCAGTGTATATAATAGACTGTTTGTGCTTGTTTTGTTTTGTTTTGTTTTTTTAAAAGGCCAGAAAAACCACGTCAGCTAAATTTCATAAGAACTTGACAAGGCACATTAGGATGAAAAAATATTTAGTTTTTAAGTTTAAAGAAGAACATATAAACCACTATTTAAATATATGTTCAGTTATTACATGAATTCTTTATATTGTCTCTTATAGAAATGATCTTGATTTTTGTAAATATGTGTCAGTTGTCCATATATGTCTTATAAAAAATAAAAAAATAAAAAAAAGCATATATATGGGGGGCAGCATTTTACACCACTTCTGTAGAATGACTCGAATACAAATACTTTGGGTGGCCTGTGAGGATGTAATGGTGTCAGAAGAGGGCGCCACTGAGCGGTTTATATTTTTATTTAAGCTTTATTTTTTACTGCTGCACGATTAATTGACTGCAGATATATTTGAGTGCTGCCTATGTCATATTTTCATGTGAGTTTCATGTGAGTGTCAATTGACATCTGACAAAAATTTGGTTTCTTATTGGAGAATGAACATGACATGAACTTTACTATAATAATCAAACATGGTGGCATAAGTGAGTGCACTTGCCATTTCCATAAAGTGTGGTCTCGGAGACATCTAGGGGCTGGTTAATCTGAAATTGATGATGCAAAAACAATAAACCGGTGGGGTGGTTGCTTACTCAAATAATTGCTCAGCAGTCTCAGTGAAAGGTTGTAAAGATAACCAAAGACCGTGGAAATTGTGCATAGACTTTGTGGTGAGAATGCCTGTCCATCCATAATTATTTCATAAACATAACTCTGAAACAACATATAGGCCTGGTTATAGAGTCTCATGGCTGCTCCTTTCACTGCTATGCAGATAATTTGCAGCTCTACCTGTCACTGCAGCCAGCCACTAGAACTGTACTCTTCTAATACTGAGATTAAATTTGCTATATGAATGAATATAGGTGTAACTGTAATGAAAACAAAACAGAATATGCAGATACAGGATCTCTTTATGGGTCCATGTTGTAACATCAGATGGAACTGCACTTTATAGCATTTGTAAAACCCATACCATTATCTACAGGCCATTTTACAAGCACTTAATCTGTCATGCAGCAATAATTCAAAGGGCTGAGATATGCACTGCATTTATAATGTAATGTCCTTTTTTTATCAATTCCCTCTACAGACAGATAAAACAGAAAAACAAATTTAAACAGCAAAACAGGAATCTTTAAAAAGCAGACTTTTAGTAGACTTTTTATTTAAACTAATTTGAAAAAGAATAAAATAACAATAACAATTAGAATTGAGAAAATTAGAAATATTATTATGGCTGTTTAAGATCTTATAGTGTAAAAATTGCGAAACTGTTCAAAACTGAGTCAGCTGAAGTTACCAACCCCCTTGTGAGAGGGAGAGGAGTGCTGGAGAGGACAAATGTTAGCAACCAATGTTTGTTTGCCATCGACAGAACATTTCTCTTGTCAAATAATGATTGAAGATCAAAAGTAATACAAGCTGCCACCTACAATCTAATGAGAAGCACATTATGAGATTTCTCTTAAAGGGGTCCTATTATGCTTTCGAAGGCGGACCTTCATCAAAGCCAGAACTAATCGAGCCGTTTGTGCCAGGATGGGAAAAAAAGGTATTTTAATAATGTAAATTATGTGAAAAATAATGCGTTTTTTGAACCACCAAGCATGAGAGCATGTTCTAGTACACCCCCAAAACAAATTCAAGACTTTGTAAAAGAGCATAATAGGACCTTTTGATGACATCATCAAGGGTTTGCATGAAATGCATGAAATGATAAAGCAGTCAGTGACATCATATCAGAAAACTGCCAAAGTAGATGAATTTTACAATGTTAAATAATCCAACCCTGTCTGTCAGCACAGAGAATGAGGGTGTTATGAGGATTTCCATCAAATACTGTCTACTACTGCATCATGCTTGACCTTCACCATGTTCTTCCACACTGATGTTTAAAAAAGAGAGATTTGTTACCTTTAGTTCTTTCTAAAGTAAATTATAAATCTTAATCTGTGACAGCAAAGTCAAAATTATGGCTTTCATTGCATTTATTTTTCTGTGGCTTTAATGGTTTTCCAGAAGGTTTTCCATTTAATCATAAATGTCACAGTTTCCTTGAATTAATGCAAGTGAGAGCCAAAATATCTGATCACTCTTCTACAATATTGTGCATTTTCTGCTTCTGAGTGCAAATGCATAGTGCTAAATACATTAAAGCATGAAATGGCATTTAGAATTAATTTTACTTCTGTAATGTGAGTGAAAGAATATTTAGGAGAGACTTGATTTTATCCAACTAAATGGATAGTATGGGTGTTAAAGTGCGGTCACTTTTACCATTACTCAGTAAAATTATGTGGATGAATTCAGTCATTTCGATAGGAATCCATGCCATGTGGGGAGTTTCATGTGAGAGCGAAAATGTTCCCCATGCAAGTTTCATTCATGTTTAAGTTGGTCATGCAAATCCGCTGAACAGAACCAGCAGAAAGCTGCTTGGTTTGAAAGTGACTTATGTGGAAGTGGGCAATGGTCAATTATTATTATAATTATTATTTTATTAAATTCTGTCAATGGAAAAAAAATACTCTCAATAGTCTTGCCTGTTTTGAATTGTTGGCTAATTCCTTTCAGTGAAAATACAGAATTTGCCCACTAAGGCATTAATATGTCTTATGTTAGCTAAAATGTTTTCCCAGCTTTTTGCAAGTCTGGTTCATGTATCTGCAAAGCTGGAGATGTTACTGAGCGAACTATTGAATGAATGTGTTCTGATGTTCATTGAGTTTATATCTGTGGGGCTTTGGCCCGTAACTGTCTCTGGGAATGTCTGTTTGGTTACACTTTATTTCGATAGTCCACTTTAGACATTCTACTAACTATAAGTAACTTTGTAACTACATGTCAACTAATTCTAATTAATTTGCAACTACATGTCTACTAACTCTCAGAGAAGACTGTTAGGGTAGGTTTAGGGTTAGTAGAATAAGTTGAAATATACTTGCAAAGTTTCTGATAGTCAGTTGTTGACCCATCAAAATAAAGTGTTAGAAGATATTAAGCAGACAGTCTACTAATACTCTAATGACTGCTAGTTGACATGTAGTTGCAAAGTTACTTACTGTTAGTAAAATGTCTAAAGTGGACTATCGAAATAAAGTGTTACCGTCTGTTTTAACTGGCCTGCATGAATCTCTATAAATCTAGAGGGATTGTGCAGCCTGGACTGTGGCCCTCTAAAATGTCTTCATTCTCTCTTTCTGTTCATTTCCCGTCTCACTCTTTGTCTCCTTTTCTCATGAAGGATTTACAATGTTTTCCACTTTTCTTTTGTCACTACTGGTAAGCTGTTTCACATTAAGCACATTTGTAATTTCTCTAGTGTGATATAATAATAATATACGTTGTGTTTTGGTAGATTCTGTGGTCAATCCCAGTTACAAACCTATAATCCTATGGCCTCTGCAGCTCTTCATATTTCACAGAAAGCATTTATTTAACCAGAGGAATCTAATATATTCATGCCTATGAAAATATCATCAGAAGTCAGAGTCGGAATATCATCTGTATATAGGCTAATAATAGTGTTTTCAGCAGATATCCAGTGAAATTCGCTCAACTGTGCTCAGATTTGAATAATTCATGATGTCTGAGACCATGAACTCTTCATACTCTTCAATTGCTCTTTTCAACGAAGAACCAGATTTTATCGCATTGCTGAATTCACTCTTAAAGATTTCAAAGTTCCTTAGTTGTCATATAAGTTAAAATTCCTCTGTAAAATAAAGTCTAAGGCTCACTCAGACAGTATTAAGGTCATTGACTGTAATGACCTGTTGGAGTAGTAGGTTAAAAGCGTCTGGCTTTACTGCTGCCATTCAGTTGTTATTGCAATATTTATTTTTAAATTAATAGTCCCAGTTATGAAAGTCCCAGTTATCTTGATTTATGGTTAGAAATTGTTAGATGGCATTATCCAGTATTTAATTTACAAGTCAAGTGATTATTTTTTTTTTGTAATTTTAGTAATCTTTAACTTAATATATATATATATATATATATAGAGAGAGAGAGAGAGAGAGAGAGGAACCTTTAATATTCAAAATGTTTTGTTTTTCAAATAAATAATTTACATATGCAACTCTCTGCATGTTGCATGTTGTTGTATTTTTCCCTGTTTTTGCTCTATAATAAAGGTCCCATTATAAGAGCAATGTGCAAATCATTATTTAAATATAAATATATAAATATTTTTTAAAAATATATATAATAAAATGAATATTTTATTAATTAATATTCAGATTGCAGCCACAGAATAACAGCAAGGAAAACAATTATTGGTCTTTTGGGCATCCATGATGTTTTTTATTGAATGCAGAAATCAGTGCAGCTTTGTGTAAAACAGCTCTTGTGTTCAAAGACAACTTTTGTCTTCAAAGTAACTATACAACTAACAGATAATAGATAGGAGATTGTGGAACACCAATGTCATTTTTGTAATAATGAGAACAGTCTAAATTAATTGAGAGTTTAGCATTTGATAATTTGACCAACAAATTATCAACAAATTATCACAGTTAGAATGAGAAATCCTAATTGAGTGTATCTTATCTGCCACACTCAACAAATCTGTATCCCACCATCATTTCATCTTTGTCATCTGCTGCACAGGTCACAAGAGCACTGGAGCCGGAAAACAGCTGACAAGAAAAGAAGAAGTATCCGCTTCCAGAGAACGATTGATTTGTAAAGAAGAGGAAGATCCCAGACACAGTGCCACAAACAGCCGTGGAGAACATTGGTTCAGTGACACAGGGCCTCTTGAACAAGGAATTAACACTTCCTGACTTGTGCTGCCAGGGTCATGCCAATGCCAGGGGTTCAAAATGACCCACAAGGGCATCAGAGGTCAGAGTGAAGCTTTGTAGAAGTGAGAGAGGAAGTTGTTGATGTTGTGGCACATTTGCTGCACGTTTATTTAAGGGAAGGCATTTTTCTGCCCACTGGCATTTTCTCACTCTGACTCTGCAATTTATGTTTTGGCTCTTATGCCAACAGGAAAATGAATTATAACATTTTATTGCCACATTAAAATAGCCTACCATTACCTCTCATTATTAAAAAATAAATAAATGTTGATAATTGACACCATCATAAACATGCTTATGGTTGTGTTTTCCATTATTTTTGCAATAACAATCTCCAAAGTTAATTCTAGCTAGTTCCAGCCCTCAAATTAGTTTGGTTCTGCAGTGACATTTTCAGTGACTCTTTCTGCAGGTTACATCCTTACACCAGAAGGTGACAGCAAGTAACCGTGTTTACGAGTCATTCGTTCAAATCATTCGTTCAACTGATTCATTCACGGATGCGCTGTTTTGCTGAGGCTTTGTTTATAATTAATTTCATTGACAGAACAAAAGTAAACAAAGCATTACTGTGTCTTAAATGTAAGTTACTCAACATTAAGTCGTTTATTGAACTGTTGTACATTACACTTGCATTCGTGGCTTTGGTACAATTATTGCTTTTGAGTCGCAACAGTTTCCTTTGCTGCAGTCGCTGATAGTTTTCAGTAGGCAGGCAAATTGAAAACTGAGCTGTTTTACTTATTATAGAGCTAATTCCCCTTTTCCCCTCCATTTTTCCTCCTTGCTTCAGAGTGCTTCATGATGGTGATTATTGAAATAAATTCTGGGAAGGGGTCTCCATCACTGAATGGTGATTATTACCAAGGCAGACCTGTCTCGATTAGATACATCACTGTTACTTCAGCCGGCCTCATCTGTTCCTTATTCTTCGATCTCATTTCATCAACAGGGCCCATTTCTTGGAGGAATAATGAGATCTGAAGAGAAGAGAACAGCGCTCCTGGGGTACAGACTCTCTTCATTGGGATTACTAGAGCACAGTGAGCTGAGGAGGACATAATGGAGCACAAGCTCAGGTGTAGCTAACCTATGGTTTATCTACCCCACGTTACATATGCCAGCTTTATGTTTTAATGATCTGAATGTTATGGCCATCATTTTTAACACCACAATCATATACAATTAGCACATGAAAAAACAAAAATAGAATTAATATTTTAATTCTGCTCAAATGAAATGACTTTAGTTAATTTTTCTGAAGTTTTAAAGATCAAGTCTGTAAAATGATTCAATCGCTTCCTGTCACTGATATATTATTACAATTTAAAATCACTATTTTATAGTTTAATATATTTTAAAATTTCATATATTCCAGTGATGGAAAAACTCAATTTTTAGCAGCTAGTACTCCAGTCTTCAGTGTCATCAGTCTTCATGCTCATTTGGTGCTCAGTTATTAATAATGGTTCTTATTATTATCAATGTTCAAAACAGAATGTTGAAAAGAACAGCATTTATTTGAAAAAGAAATCATTTGTAACATTATAAATGTTTTTGTTTTATAAATGTTTTTTAAAAAGTCTTTACTGTCATGTTTGATCAATTTAATCAATTGAATTTGCAGATTTTTTTTTAAAAACCTCACTGACCCCAAACTTTTGTTTGTATCACGGTTTCCACAAAAATATTAAGAAGCATAAACTGTTTTCAACATTGAAAATAATAAGAAATGTTTCTTGAGCAGCAATTCAGCATATTAGAATGATTTCTGAAGGATCCTGTGACACTGAAGACTGGAGCAATGATGCTGAAAATTCAGCTTAACTCACAGGAATAAATTACATTTGAGAATATATTCAAATAAATTATTTTCAATAGTAATAATATTTCACAGTGTTACTTTTTTACTGTATTTTTTGATCAAATAAATGCAGCCTTGGTGAGCATAAGAGACTTCTTTCAAAAACATTAAAAAAAAACCCATTCCAAACTTTTGACCAGAATGTTATACATTTATAACACTATATTTTGCATTATTTCACCCTGGCAATAAATTCCATAAAACAAACAAATAAAACTAGTAAATGCTGTTGCAGTGGTGTTTCTAATAATCTACTACAGGAGTGAAAGTAAATGTGACCTCTTTCTCTCGAGTGACTGCTGTGATCAATCTCTCTCTATTTTTTTTTCCTCTCGTGGACAGTCATGGAAACGTAATCATGATTTTTTTTAATAGCAAATAAGAATGCAACAATTATAATTTCCATGGCCTTTCATTTACCTCTATAGAAGTTTACCACACTATAGTTTACTTCTGTGTTGTGAACCTGGAAATGTAAGAAGCATGTCTAAACAAATGAGCTGGTCAGTTGAATCGTGATTATTCAGAATTTGGTAGCCTACAAATACATTAGTCTCCTGCGCTGGCAAGGTAGCTGTAATCACCAGACATGCACTTCCAGACCTCTAAGAGAGCTGGGGTTTGTGAGATGCAGGAGTAACAGGGGCAATCTTCTCAGCAGGACACATGACTGCTTATCTGACATCCTGAATGCAGGTGCACAGAGAAAGTAGGAGAAAAGCATTTCATCTCAGCTTCTGCTTAAAGCCCAGGTCTCCTGTGGCGACGACTCTGTCTTGTCACATTTACAGAGCCATTACAGTGCATTGTAAGCCCTTGTTAAGGTGCACAATTTACCACCATCTACTTCCATTCCCTGAGGTCCAAAAACTATGACTGTAAATAGGCAAAAGGGAACAACAGGGAAAATGAAATATGATAAATATTTCTTGTCCTTTGTGTGTGATTCAGTATCTTAACCTGTTTTTATGCTTATTTTAAGATTTTTGTTTGTTTGTTTTTAATTATTGTATCCAGCGCCTGTGCAGATAAAAACAGGGTGCACAGTCTGCACACAATGCCTGTGCTGTTAATTTGGTCTTGAATTAATGTGTTTCAGTCATTATTGTCAACGTGCACCTGCATAAAGTTGGCCTGTTAATAACTAAGCTTAAACTGTAAGGTCAGAGTTTATGAAGGCAAAATACCAGCTATAACTGTTAACCTATATTTTTGTACTTAGCCTATTTATTTTTTCTCAAGTTCTCAATAAAATGTTTTTTTTGTTTTTTGTTTTGGTAATATAAAACTTTTAAAGTAAGTTTACAAGCAATTATAAGTGTTTACATTCATTGTAACCTAATTATCATATTGCCAAGACATGAAAAATTATTCTAGTTTTTGTATATTCAGTGGGGTAGTGCTTATACAGTAAATAAAGCAGACTAGATTATAATACATTTTGAGAAAAGTCTTCCCAGTGAGTCTGCAGTAAATTTTAATGTCCCCATTATTTATGTCCCTGTTTTAATATACTTAACAAAATATTAAATTCAAAATGATAATAATTTGACTTCCTTGGCTTGCAGACGTGTGACAATTATTTATTTATTTATTATCCATGAATTTCTAACATGCAAAAACTGGCAATTCATTAAGAAATGCCCCAGGTGTTTCTTCATATTTTTATATACTTATTTTTTAAAAGAATGTTACAGTCAAAACATTTTAATTTGTGATACATTTATATGTTTTTTCTCAATATCAATGCATACCTTTCCTTTTATACTCTTTTACGGTTCATACTTTTTCCAAATCATACAGTTTCCTATTAACATAAAAAAGTCCTTAATGGCATAATCCTCCAGGAAGTGACATCGTTTTTGGTGGAAATATAACCATGCAAACATTAGCTATGGATTTAAAGAACTGATGTTTTGTGGTATGTGTTTGTTTCACTTTAAAACATTCTATTCTGTTTGATAAAAAAGCCCTTTGTCTTGTTCGTTTTTTTTCTTCTATTGTGTAATAGATTAAGTTTAAGTGCCTGTGTTTCACCAGCCTAAAAGACTGATGTACCAAATAAGTACTTAACTTAAGTGACATGAGCATTTTTTACAAATTGTTTTAAAAACGATATTGCATGGAATGATTCAGCTGCCATTAACAATGATCCGGTTCGTAACCTACAGAGCGCCCAGTGAGCAGTTGAACAGCAGATGTTCGAGCACGAGGAGGTGATTCAGGCGGGTGTGGGCAGTGACGTACAGACTCTCAAATAAGTACGAGCGTTCAGTGACAGACGGAGCAGAGCACACTTTAACATGTATCCTCCTGACAGCTCATCAAAACACCGGCCATTTCCCTATTACGCAGGCTTTTAACAGCGATCAAGTCAAGCAATAACATTCTCTTTTGGGATATTATTCGACTTAGAGATCGAGCCTTACAGTGGACCATCTGTTGATCAACTAAACATCGATTGCAACAGGTAGGTTCACTGTCTTCCAGTCCGTTTTTAGTAAACTATCGCCCTATATCAATCGCATTGCAGTGATTCATTCAGCGCGTGAGCTTGATTACAGTACACATGTTTACGCGTGCACTGTTCAATGAAAATGACACAAGCAGGTTAATTAATGGAAGTGTGCAGAACATCTTATTCATTCACTTTTAAGCGGCATTGCGAGGCACGAGGATGAGAGTGTGTATATGTGCTGTGCATATGTTACAGTTGGTGAATTTATAAACAGAACAGACTATTTTGAAATGTTTCTAGTAGACAAAGGAGAAATGTTGTCCTCAACTGTTATAAATATTCATATTAAATCACTGACACAGATAATTAAGTCTTTCATCTGAGTAATCTGTCACAAGTACATCTTGAAACTACTTTCAGTGATCATAGTCTCAGTGACCATTACCAGTAAAATATTTATGGATTACTTTTTCCCCCCAAAAGTCAGTAATGGTGTCAGTGAGT